AGGAAGGGGACTGTTCAATGCTACAGGGTCTGCCCTGAGATCTCAGAGTTAGGGGACCCAGGAGGGAGCGGTGTAAAGCTGAGGGAGCTCCAGGCGGCTCCTGGCCCAATCAGGGCCTGTGCACTGTCACATTCTGGTCTAAAAAAGAGAGGTGTAAAGAGCGACAAGGTGAAGGAACCCCTTTCAATTTTCAGCGGGAGAGCTGTGGTGTCAGAATCTTGCTTATGCACATGCACATACACATGCGTGCATGCGTACACGCACACACACACAGACCAGCAGCAGGCAATGCCTTGTTTTGTGCGCGAATGAGAGAAGGAATGGTATAAATAATCTCCCAAAGTAGGTAACACAAAACCATCTGGGTGGTCTTTATAACACAGTCTGTAATTTCCTTTTTTCTTTTCTTTCCTTTCCTTGCCTTGCCTTGTCTCATCCTCCTCATCCTCCTCCTCTCCCCACCTCCCTTCTCCTGGTGCCAGTTGAACACTGCAGATTGTTTCTTGCTTCAGTTAATTATGGATGGAGTTCGTCATTTTTGAGACAAGATAGATAAGGCTATGGAGACGCGGCTAACGGATTGACAAGAAGTGGGTCTGGAATTTCAGCTGCGCTGTAGGTGATGAACAGGTGGTTCACTGGGATCCCTAACCACAGTTCCACCTTTTACTTTTGGCCCCACTAAAGTCAGACCCTTGTTGATCTACACTGCTCGGTTCTGCCCTGCAAGCTCCCTTCATCCCTCCACCCGGCAGCATGCGTTTCACAGGGGCAATGGCTTGCATCACACCGTTTATATTTTACCAGAATCTGAAAAGCATGAAAATAAAGACATTGAGGGTGCAGAGTCCTGCTTGTGAGACATTGGCTGGCCCAGGAGCAGTGGTTCTGTTCAAAGTAGCAACACCCCGAGAGTATCAGTGAGGCATAGAGCACAGTGGCATTCAGACTCGGGGCTGAATCCTCTTGTTTCCACTTACTACCTGTGTAACCTGGGCAAATCCCTTAACTTCTCCTAGTCTCAATTTCCTCATCTGTAAAATAAATATACTCCCAGGAGCACTGTTAAATGAGATCACGCATGTAAAGTGCAGGGCCTGGTATATTATCTATATATGAAGTATGTGCCTGGCATGATGGAGGCAACAAAGACGGGCAAGATGCACACCTGTCACCCAGATATGCTTACAGCCTAATGAGGAAATCTACGTAAACTTAACATCTTAATATCTCTGTGCCTCACTTTCCTCATCTATAACATGTGGACAATAACAATATCTACCTCAGAAGATGAAATGATTAATCTATATAAAGCATTTAGAACAGTACTGGCACATGGTAGTACTGTACTCAAAAAGGCATTTTATGATAATGGTTGAGAGGAGAGTTAACATTTTGCGGAGAGGATTAGGAATTATTTTATGGAGAAGGTGACAGTGAGATGAGCTAGAAGGATGGGCGTGGTGTTGACAGGGCATTCTTGGTGGAAGGAATGATTAAGAATGAAGGGGCAGGGCCGGCCCCGTGGCTTGGTGGTTAAGTGCACGCACTCCGATGCTGGTGGCCCGGGTTCGGATCCTGGGCGCGCACCGAGGCACCACTTCTCTGTCCATCCTGAGGCCGAGTCCCACATACAGCGACTGGAAGGATGTGCAGCTATGGCATGCAACTATCTACTGGGGCTTTGGGGGGAAAAAATAAATAAATAAAATCTTTAAAAAAAAAAAAAAGAATGAAGGGGCAGAGGTGAGCAGGTTGGGGTGGGATCAAAGGAGAGCCAATCACTCTTGTTTGGCCGCAGCGTGGGATACGCAAGGATAATAGTGGAAGGCAAGTCTGGGAAGGCTTTTGGAGAATCTTAAAACACTAAGTAAAAATTTTACTTCACTGTGTAGGCAATGTGGAGATCATAAGCTGGGGGAAATAATATGATCAGAGGTATGCAGTGGGAAAATTATTGTGGCCCTGAAGTAAGGAAAATCAGAATTTCCATCAGTGATGCAAATGAGAAGCTAGTGGCAATTCAGTTATTCATTCAACAAATATTTCTTAGTTATGTATAAGGCACCTTCCTAGGCACTGGGTATACAGTGGTGAAGAAGACAGAGTCTGTCCTCCTGGAGGTTATAGCTTAGTGGGAGAGATAGACAAGCAATCACACAGGTGTATCATTGAAAACAAGGAAAATTCAATGACGGAAATTACAAGAGCTTTGACAAGAGAGTTGTGTAAAGAGTCAGGGATGGTTTCCCCGAAGAAGTGACACGTAAGCTGAGATCTGAAGGGTGAGGAGGAGTTCATCAAGTTGAAGGACGAGAGAGAAATTTTTCCAGGCAAAGTCATTGGGGTGGGATGACAAGACCATATTTCTCTTAAAGAAAGTTATTTCTGGCATCAGTGTGGAAAATTTATTGGAAAGAGGGCAAGAGCAGATTTGATTGGACTAATTGGGAAGCTATAGCAGGAGTTACATCAAAAGATGATTGTGTGGATACTTCATAAAATGGTATCATTACCCACAAAAACACAGATGACTCTCACAGACAGAAGAAGCCAAACACAAAGAAGAATATACTGTATGATTGCATTTATGGGAAATTCAAGACTCGAACTTGATATAAATAAACTAATCTGTGGTGAGAGATTTCAGAATGGTGGCTACATTGGTGTGGGGGGCTATTGACTGGGAGCGGCATGAGGAAGGCTTCTGGCAGGCTGGAAATTATTTACATCTATATCTTTACCTACCTATAGTAGGTAGGTAATTCTACTTATTAATTCACACCTGCTTTGTAAATGTAATTCGTGCACCATGGAAATGAAAAGAAGGTCTGATATGTACCATTTAAAAAATATATTTTTAAAATGTAATGTTAAGGGGGAAAAGTAGGCTAAAAAATTGTGCATATAAAATTATCATAACTCTCAAAGAAATTAATATAATAATAATTTACTTAAGAATTAAAGGAAAACATCCAACACACTGGTTGTTTCTGGTGGTGGAATTTCAGGTGACTGGTGTGAAGATACACCCCCAGGGGATTTTGGAAAACACTGACAATGATTAAGAGACCAACAAACTTCTCTGAGCAGGATGACAGGGATGCGAATCCTTGTTTTGTTCTTCCCTAAGGGAGTGACATTCAGTAAATTACATAATCTCTGTGACTCGCAGTTTCATCAAATTTAAAAAAGGGGTCCTAATGGTGCCTCCATCCCAGGGCTATTTGGGGAACTAACCAAGATGAAGTGTAAGCACAGCGAGTGCTCAGTAAATGTCAGTTCTGGATATTAAAGGAAACCTTGGAGGCAGAGGAGAGTGGGTTGTCCACATTAGCTCCCACTGCCCCTCCTTCCTGGGTCATCTTAGAGAGGGAGGTTGGCCATGGGGATTTGAGAAGGAGGGTAAAGGTCCAGAACAGCAATCGGGGGTGGGGGGGCACATGAAGGGAGATGACCAGGGAACACGCCCAGCTGGGGTGGAAGCCAAGCATTTCTGGGATGAAATCCTCCAACTTCCTCCCAGCCAAGAGGGATGGTGGAAATGTTCCCAAGTTGGGAATTGAAAAGGGGGTTGTGACAGAAAGACAAGGAAATGATATTTCGAGAATAAACTCCATAGAGTATAAAAATAAAGAATGTCATTTTAAATGAGAGAGTTTAAAGTTGAACATTTTGTGACTATGTATAGCTGTGGGTGTGATGTATGTATAACATGATGTTATTTAAGGAAATCACAGAAACCCATATCATTTGCCTTCGTACATAAAGACACTCTTCTTCCGTACTTTATCAAACAGCGAATATTATGATATGATATCCACATGCTATTTGAACACATGAAAAGTTTTTTCTTTAATTAAAATTAACTGACTCTTCAGAAACCAGTGGAGCCCATAGCTTCTCAGGTGACATTAGGGGAAATTTAATTGGTACTTAGTCAATGACCGAGGAAGCATGAAATGCACGCGTACCCCAGGTATTTGCATCTCTTTCTTCCCGCTCAACGAGACAGCCTTATGATATTTAATATCGTCAGTCAGCAAAATCATGTTCATTAGTTAGGCCACAAAGTGTTAAACTGACTTTATTTCAATGAGAATAAAAAGGAAATTACAAATAAAACAGAAACTTGTTGTGTTATATACAGAAAACCTACAATTCTGGGAAAGGAGGCATAAAATTTTTATTTTATATTTTATTTAATTTTTACAGGAAGCTTCTGAAAATCAATATTGTAAGGCCTAACTGGATTTAGTATGATATTCTCATTCAGAGAGTGGGCAGGGAATCGTGTCAACATTTGCAGCCTTGTCTCTGCCTGCATTCCAATTAAAAATTGTTCAACATGATATAATGTAGACAGGGTATTCTGAACAGCTATCTCTGAATAATAATGATATTGATAATAATTATATTAGCTACCATTTTTATTAACACTTTTTTATGTAGCAGGTATTGTGCTAAGCATTTTATGTGTGTTAGCTCACTTACTCCCCACAACAAACCTGTGAGGGAGGTATTTCAGGAACTTTATTATACCCATTTTATGGGTGAAAACAATAAAGCTCAGATTAGGGTTACCAACTACCCAGGTTTTCCCAGGATGTGAGACTTTCAGTGCTTAAACCAGGAAAGTCTTGGGCAAACTGGCATGAGTCAGTCACCCTATAAAAATGACTTGCTTGATATTTAATTGGTAGAGAGGGATTTAAACCTCTTCTCTCCTTAGCTGGGCAGATTTTTCCTACCTACTGCCAGCCCAGCTCTAGATTACAGTCCACAAGAGTTAAACAGCAAGACATTCTTTGGCAGTGTGGTGGGGGAGGGAGCTAGGTTGACACTTGGCAATATTATTTCACATGATGTAATTGAAAATGTCATTTTGTCTTTCCCGGTCCCCAAACCACTGAGCAAGCAAAGCTGAGCCTCTCTTTACAGCATTTGCAAAGGGCTGGCATGTCACCTTAATCTGACATTCAGAGTAAAAACCCACTCACCTTGGGAAGGGGGTAGAGGTGACACAATGGTTGGCCAGGGTCCTGTTTACAAAACTCCAGGGTGTGACACACCACATCAGCATTCCTATCCGCACTAAGCCTGGAGGGAAAGAGGGCAAAACAAAGGCTATTCAGATCTCTCAGGCATTAGGAAACAGAAGCTATTTGAAAGAAAAGTAAATCCCCAGAATGGATTCTAATACCCTCAACTCTGCAGCATGGCCTTGAGTCCAGGCCGGTGTAGATGCTGGATCATAACGATTTCCTGCCACGTCGCTGTCTTCTACATTTAGAATAAGGTCCTGGGGGCGGGGATGGGGCACAAACAGCACTGAGCTGTGAATCAGCCTCTCACACAAGCACTGTGATTCTTTTCAGGAGCAGCCACAAATAAAATTAGGAAAAGAAAAATGCGCAGGAGTGTAATTTGACGGGAACAATATTTTAAAGTTTGCTGGGCCTTATAGAAAAAAATCATGTATGATATAGCCTTAAACACATAAAATTATTTTCTTAGGCATAATCCAAATCACCTCTTTCCCTTTAAAGTAAATATATTTCTCTACCTTATGGAAGGAAATACAATATCTTTGACTTTTTCCCCTGGGAATAGTGTAAGGATAGTGTTCTTCAAATATTTTGGTTTATGTCTGGGTTTGCAGGGGCTTAAACAAACCTTTCATATCCATTTTCTACCTGACACCCTCAAAACTCTTCTTAAATGTGGAAGAATGAGTATCATGTGCTGCTTCAAATGAAGGAACAAGTAAAGTACGGACTTGTAGTAACTTTGCCAAGTAACTTATTGATTCACGCCCAAAGCAAACCAAACCAAAGCAACAAAAAGAAAGAATCCAGAAACATAGGTTGATAATATCTAGAGACAAATTTTGGAAGGACAGTTATAGATTCTAGAAGATACTTTTTGGGGTTTCTTGCCAGCTCACATGATCACTTAACTGTCCCCCTTCACCCATAGAGGTGGGTTCCTGACAACTGTCCCTTATCTCCCAGCCAGTTGATTAGACCTCATTAGACTACTGTTTAAGTAGGACCAATCAGATTCTCTTTTATGGAAATTTGGAATTGGTGTTAAAAAGTTTGACTTCACTTTGGGCTGCTCTCAGAATAAAAGGAGCCATAGTGACTTGGGACCGTAACGTCATTTCCTGACGTGGACTGAGCATTTGGAAAGCTAGTCTGTAGGATGGGGTTCATGGGGCAGAACCCAGCGTGTGCAGTGAGGAAGCCTGGGGACCGTGCGCCCTTGTGTTCTTGGTGGCTTCCCTGTCCCGTTTCCAGTCTCTGTCTGAAGCCTGGATATTTTCCTGCCTTTGAGTTTCATGATATTGTGGGAGATCAAGATTTGGCCACCCTGAAATCTATCTCTTTACCTTGATTGTTTTCTCTGACGGACACTTGACTTCCCCTACTAACTGCCTAAAGAATTTGACATAGAAGATCTGTAATATGATGTAAAATAGATGTTACAATGGAAAAGGCACCAACAAGCCCATCTTATGGGAAGTTCTGTCTCTCTGGCCACATTCTCTGGATGGACCTGCGAGGAGTTGCCAGACAAACATTTACATTTATAAGGGAAATCTCCATTTTTACATTTATAAGGGAAATCTCCATTTGTAAAGGTATCTCCCTCTCTGTATTGGGAAGAGGGGGGATGACCTCATTTCTAGAAACTTATCAATGTGGAAAGTGTGACCTTAAATCTGCATAATAATCTTACTCTTGTTTACCGTGCTTTAGTGGTAATCTGCTGTAACTGACTCCCCCCACCCCCAACATCCTCCTTTGTCCTTAGCTGAAGATGGTATTTAAGACGAGAATTTCTGCTATTGTGTTGAGAAACTCAGTGTCCCTGGTTTCTCCCATGTATACATGTTATTAAACTAGGTATTATTTTCTCCTGCTAACCTGTCTTGTTAATTATTCGGCCAGCCATAAGAACCTTAAGGGAAAGGGCAGAGGGAGATTCTCCCTCTTCCCCCACAATATACTCTAGATTCCCTTACAATAAATCCACTCCATGTACCTCCCCCCAGCTATTACAGCGACTAGCTCTACAACTACTCCAATTACAACTTCTTTCTTCTCTCTCTGACCCTCCTCCTCTTCTCCTTCCTTCTTAGTCATAAGGAAGGCCGAGATGTTTCTGGGCTGTGACAGTCACAGCCCATACATGGGCCGACCCTTGAGAACCACTGTTTAGCTTGGTAATGCTTGGCCCCCATGACTAGGGCCTGGATTTGCTCCCTGACTCCACGCCCACTTCTGCTTTATTTCCCTGATAGCCATTCCACAGACTCTCGATTAGGTTGTCCACTCCTCCAAGGGAGTTTTATACCTGAATGTGGAGAATAACAGATGAGATTCAGAAAGGTAAAACAAAAACAAGATGCAAACAAAACAAAAAACCAGCCCTCTGGTTCTACTTAGTGCATGTAAGCAGCAGTTTTAATGGATGCTGAACATCGAAATATCTTTAAAATTCTAATAATGTTATCTTTGGACTACCAACCAAAAAATGCTGGGAGAGGCCTTAAGAGTTTATATCATGAACATTCCTGCAGAAAGAACTGCCCCATATTACTGAAAAGCCCGTCAGAGAAAGAGGATCCACCTCAGACATCTTCAAACATTTTGATGGTCACTAGTGTATGAAAAGATAAGCTGGGACCACAGGCTCCCAAATCTCATTCCAGCTGAATGAGACTAGCCATGTGACTGGCAAGACGGCTTCTCAACATTTTGTGAGCACCTGAGTTAAAAGGGAAAAAGAGTTCATCATGAGAATCATCTGCTTGGCCCCAGGCTTCCTTCAAGGGAGGTGGAGGGGAAGGTAACTTACAGTATTAAAGGAGGCCTTGTCTTCTAAGCTGTGGGACAAGCTGTTTGTGACAGAAAAAGTCCATTACCGAACTAATGTCTACCAAGGGTCAGTGAAGCAGGAGAGGTGGCTGTTGTCACACATCTGTTCTCAACTTAATGGTTCATTTATTTAACTGATGACTGCTGTTTTTATGGGGGTTCTGGTATTTAGTGGACTCAGGAGGATGATAAATAAGGCTCTGATTAATCTTTTTTTTTTAAACTAAGGCCAATATTCCATCTGCAACAATCCAGGACCACCAGAGCCAAGTCGTCATATGGTATCCAAGACCTATTCTTTTTCCCCTGTAAATAGTGCACAATTTCAAGTATGTCAACTTGAATATCCAAATGGAAGGGGGCCCCCTCAGTCAGAGAGTGAGGCTGGTATTCTCTGAACTGAGGAATAGGAGAGCAGAACTGGGCATGTGGTGTCCTTTCCAGAGTCCTCTAAAACCAGAGCTTCTCATGACTAAAAGTGAGAAGTACTCCTTTGGACAAGAATAGAAAATGCTGAGGCTCATAAGTCCAGACAAGTGGAAGACCATTAGAACGTGCAAGACACAAAGAATGTGCAAAGTAGCAGGTGTGCTCTTGACCACTGGCCCAACCTTGGGACAGAAGGCCTAAGCTACACGTAATTTGTGAAATCCTTAGGAAATCTCCAAACTCGTAATAACCATTCCCAGTCAACATTGTTTTCCTTTTTCCAGAGCAGCAAATAAGACCAAAATGGCCACATTTTAATTTATTTCCTGTTACTACCGTTATAGGTACAGAGGTGTGCAGGAGTGAGGCATGTGGGGAGGGGGAGGCTTCAACACATTGGGAAGAGCTAATTAACAAGTTTAATTAGGATCATGGTGGAATGAAGTCAATGAGGTTCATTATCATCATAAGTCAAAAGAAGAGCAAGGTCAGGGTTAAGTTAACAGATGGGCAGAGTAACAGCCTATGTCAGGGAGCGAGGACAGGGCCTTTCACACATGAAAGCTCTCAAATTTAGACCTTTGACATCACTTGTAAAGGAAATTTTATGTATTAATATATAGTCACAGATATACACTCATAGCCTTGAAAGATCTTCCTCATATGACTCAATACTTTTATCCTATTTCTGGACCACACTCTTTATAGTGTACTGTAAATTTAACCATTTCTATAAATCTTGTAATTATTTTGTGAATGGCACGGTTATATTGCTTTGTAATTTTGGTGTCTAAAAAACATTAAGGTGTACCATAATTGTTATAAATCTTGTTTTGCATTTTTCTTCTAAAAATGTGAGTAGTTTAGGCCTCTCCTGATCTCTGAGAGCTCCTAAGTTTGGAATACAGTAATTTATGATTTAGAGGGAAGCATAAATAGATACCAGGAGGCAAGGTGAGACAGACAGAAGACCAGGATCAGATTTACTATGGCAACCTACAGCACAATGGAAGTCAGGACCAGGCAGAAGAGGACCCAGCAGGTGGTCACTGGGTAGGATTGGGCTGCTTCTGGAAGTAGCCTTCCTGCGTGATCCAAATTCCTGGGGGAACCCCTGAGTGCTCAGAAGTCTCCCTTCCTAACAACATCCTGTGGCTCACCTGTGGGAAAGGAACGTAATTGCTGAATAATTAGTCCATGAATCATTGAGAATTGAGTGGAGTAAATAATGAGGAGGGATGCCCTTTGTGTTAAGAAACACATTTAATACTGGAAGCCTGAAATTCAGGTAAAACTAAATCATGAGGTTGTTATTTTCAGGGCCTACATCAACCTGGAACTGTACGTAATTGATTAAAACAAGCTGTGAAAAGAACACATGTAAGAGGAGAAATTTCTATCAGCAAACAGCTAATATTGCAACTGGAAAATTACACACAAACAAAACCGATAGCAGACAGAATCACAAAGGGGGGTCATTTATTACACCTGTCTTTCTTCAAAGTGGCTCACCCCATACTAAGGAGAATTAGTCATCTCATGTCTTTGAGTCATCTCAAAGAAAAAAATTTCCTCCCCTCCTCACCACCTACTCACAAAGTGGCCCGCTTTTGGTGGCTTGCTGGGCCCATTCTTTCTTAACACCCTGTGTCCACTTGTAGCTCTTTGAGGTGGGGACTGTCTCTTGCACAGTTCATATCTGCAGTACCTAGTACAGCATCTGCTGTTCTCTCTCTGATCCTTGTGCTTAACTGGCTCTCGTACTCACCACCCTCCAGCCAGCTACAGAAGAGCAATGGGTTTCCCAAGGAACCCAGGCCACTCTCCTTTTACTCCCAGCATGCTTCATGGCTAATCTCTGGCACCCTTTTTGGGTATCTGTATGTATTGCCCTCTTTGGTTTCTGTGACTATTTTCCATCTACCTCTCTAGTTCCATGATCTGGGCCCAGTAGAACCTCTCTGGCCAAGTTGACATTTTCCCCAGAGCACCTGGCTCATACTAGTATGTAAACAGATTCATTGAGTAGGCTAAAAGTTTTTTTTTTTTTTTTACTGCTTTAACACATTCAAATAATTTTCTTTAGAGCAGCCTAGTCATAGCTCATCTGTAGAGATAATTTTATTTTTTAAAAGAATTAATTAGTTTCACATTTATTGAAGGCCTTTGATGCTGAAGAATTGCACCAAGCCCTGGAGCTTCAAAGCCCTCTCCTTCTCCTCCCCTCCTTCCTTCCTTGTTCCCACATATTCAGTATTTTGCTAAGTACCTAGAGATACAAAGATGAATGAAAGGTAGTCCTAGCCCTCAGAAGACTTTCAATCTAGTTAGCAACTCAGAAAAGTAAACGGAGAATTAAATTACAAACAGATGTGGTAAGTGCTGTGCTAGGGGTTTGCACAGGTACTAGGAGTGTGTGTGTGTGTGTGTGTGTGTGTGTGTGTGTGTTGGTGGTGGGAGTGTCTGTCTTAGCCTGGGGAGGGTCAGGAAAGTTTCCAGAGCAAGTGACCCTGGAGCTGGATCCAAAGAAGTGGGATTTGTCTAGGGTAGAGGTTTTGGATGTGCCAAACAGAGAGAACATTTCATGCAAAGGTCCTGAGACAAAACCCTCCTGGTGTGTGGGGAGAACTACAAGTGGTTTGGTGTGCTGTGGAGCAGCCAGAGATGAGTCTGGAAATGTCTTCAGGGACCAGTTCATAAATAGCCTTGTGTGTGGGGCTAAGGAATCCTGAAAAGGGTATGAAGACTTTGAAGAGTTTTATGTTAGAGAGTGCCGTAATAAGTTTTGCACTAAAAAGATATTTGGCCAGCTATAATGTAGATTATGGACTTGAAGGGCAATGAGCAAGCCTGCAGGCCTGGAGTCCAGTTAGGAGGCAGTGGCAGTAATAGAGGCATGAGTTGAGAAGAGAGAGACCCTGCCTTCCACACGCTCACAGTCCAGGGCTGTGAGAAATCATTTACCATAAGAGAGTGAGGTCAATGTTAACAGAGGCAGATGCACAGCATGGTGGAGCACTGATTGTCTCTCTGGTCTGCATGATTTTAAGTTCTTTTTGTCTTTAAAATTCTGCAACTCTTGCCTATTCTGTTCTGGGGGTGATGCTGTCCTCTGAGCCTCTCTGCTCTGAGGGTAATGGTATATAAAAGACGAACCATGTAAGAATGTTCATAGTAGCACTGTTCACCAGAGAGAAAGCCAGGAAACACCCCAAATACCCATCAGTGGGAGAGTGAAGAAATAGACTCTTGCAGAGACGAAATGGAATAATCTGTACAGTCAGAATGAATGTAACTACAGCAATGACACAACTCTATGAATGAATCTTAGACATATAAATTTAAGTGGTAGGTCCCAAAAGATTATATACAATGTGACATTCTTTTCATAAAGTAAAGATATAACTAAAGTAAAAAATATATGCCTTAAAGGAATATATAATAAACATACTAATTCTAATTACTTAGACAATTATTTATTATATTATCATATATTGTTACATAATTAGAATTAATTATATTAATATAATAAATCTATATACATACATATAATAGAACTATAGGAAAAGGAAAGCAAGAGAAAGATGGACGCGGAATTTGTTACTTGGGTGGAGAAAAGCATGAGAATGAAAGAGAGGGACCGCACGGTTAGAGTAAGTTATTGTTAATGTCCTAGACTGTGTTTTGGGTGGCGGGTTTGGGAGCTAATTATATTATTCAAAATAACTAAGTAACTAACCAAATAATAAATATAAGAAAGCCATGTATGGATCTTTGATGAGAAAGTGCCATAAACAGGAATATGATTTATCTGATCCAGTGCCTCTGAGCTCATAGAAGAAAAAAAAAGATAAAAGAAAGAAAGGAAGCAGGCAGACAATGATCATGGCGCACGTGGGGATACTGTGGGGCAGGGTTGGGGATGAGGAAGTGGAGAGGGCCAGGAAACCCCCAAATGAGAGGAGAAAAGAGAAGAACCTGAGAAGAACGTAGCCTGAAAACACAGGAGGGAGGGTAGGGAAGGGCTGGGCCACGCTGGGGAGCTCGGCAGAAACGGTCAGATGGCTGCGTCCAGCCAATAGAATCCAGTAATACGTTGGCATTTCGTGGTGAAATTCCTTCTGAAAGCCTCTTGGAGAGAAATTGAGCCAGGCTGCCACACTGTAATTCAAGGAGAGCCTTTGTCCAGAATGACAAAGGAACCGAGTCAGATCTGAATTTTCCACTATTAACCAGAACTGGACTACAGCTTCAGCCCTTGTTCAGTAAGCACATCCTGCTGGAAACGGAGCCAGCTGCCTCCCAGTTTTTCTGTTTCCCCCCATATCCCAGGAACCAAATCAGATTAACATGCTGGCATACTCACAGTTTTATGATGTCTGGTCCAAACAAGTGAACCACTAAATAGCAGGTGGTCTTCAAGGACAGTTTTTCTAAGAAAAATAAAGAAGGGAAAATAGAATCTTTTTTAGGATGACAAATTTAATGCATGAGTTAATAATAATCATCTTTGCTAGGAATTGAAGCTGTGATTAATTTATCATTAATTCAAGTGATTAACCTTAAGGGTTTGGAGGAAATGTTATAGTTAATGTTTCCATTAACATATTTTCATCTCAGGTTTATTTAAATGCCACTGTGTTGACTGTATGAGCTAAAGAGTACTAGTTTATAAAAATAAAATTTATTAAAAATTATAAAAATACATTTAAATTCTGGGGTTTTATTTTTTTTTGTACGGCAGGGAACATCTGACTGCTGGTGAAGTTCTCATATATTGAAGTTGAAAGAAACCGGCCTTGCATTAAAGTAAATAATCTGAAATATAGCTTTGTTAAAAATATTCTTCTCTGGTGTTCATTTGGGAAAAAAGACTTCACGTCAGCTATTTGGTTTTTGCTGTTGTTATTTCAGAGATAAAAGGAGACTAACTGTCACAGGTGTCCCTGCATTGCCATCTACACCTGAGACCACAGACACACATACATATCCATTAACAAAACAATCTCCTTCCCCCCACCTTCCTCTGTTATGAGAGTACAGGAAAGCTCTGTGGGTTGATCTGTTTGCCCAAGGAAATCTGTTAACTCTGGTCCTGTTTCTCCAGTTTGTGAGTCTACTGTGGAACTGTGGTAATTCCACTTAGGACCTGAGAATAGGTAGGACAGATGGGCTGTCCTGGGAAGGGTTGGGAAACTTTCCCTGAGGACAATTGATCTTGTCATGCTTGTCTCAGAGAGGGCTACCCACACCTTGCTTGTTGGGTAGAGCAGTGAAACAATGGGATCCATATGAGGAACTTTCTCTAGGACTTCACTTTTCCCCAATGGTACATAAAGTAAGTATTACTTTTATATTAAAACAGATATATTCATAGGACTTTTAAAATTATTTTATTGAGGTCACATTGGCTTGTAACATTGTATAAATTTCAGGTGTACATCATTATATTTTGGCTTCTATACAGACTGCATCATGTTCACCACCAAAAGTCTAGTTTCCATCCATCACCATATCTGTGTGTCCCTTTATCCCTTTCATCCTCCCCTTACCTCCTTCCCCTCTGGTAAATAGCAATCAGTTCTCCTTATCTCTGTGTTTGTTTATCTTCCACATATGAGTGAAATCATATGGTATTTGTCTTTGTCTGACTTATTTCACTTAGCATAATACCCTCAAGGTCCATCCATGTTGGGGCTAATGGCACTCTTTTGTCTTTTTTTATGGCAGAGTAGTTCATAGGACTTTTTTACAATAAAGTATGAGACTTCAAACACATTGTGCTTTTGAAGCAGGAACTTAAAACTGTATCCCCACATTACTATAGACCTTACATAAATAAAAACTCTGAGGGAATACTATGAATATCTGCATGGCAGCAAATTAGATAACTTAGATTAAATGGACAAATTCCTAGAAAGACGAACTGCCGTAACTGACTCAATAAATAAACGATCTGAGTAGACATATAGCAAGAGATTGAATTAGTAATCAAAAACTTCCCACAAAGAAAAGCCCAGGACCAGATGGCTTCACTGGTGAATTGTACCAAACACTTGAAGAAAGCATCTGAATAGATATTCTCCAAAGATATACAAATGGCCAATAAGCACATGAAAAGATGCTCCACATCATTAGCTATTAAGGAAATGCAAATCAAAACCACAATGAGATTTCACTTCACTCTCACTGTAATATGCTATATAAAAATGATACATAATAACAAGTAATGATGAGGACGTAGAGAAATTGGAACCCTCATACACTGCTGATGGGAATGTAAAATGGTGCAGCCACTTTGGTAAACAGTCTGACAGTTCCTCAAATGGTTGAGCATAGAGTTACCAAATGATCCAACAATTCCACTCCTAGGTATATACTCAAGAGAATAAACAGTATATGTCCACACAAAGACTTGTATACTAATGGTCATAGCAGCATTATTCAAAATAGCCAAGAAGTGGAAACAAGTTAATCCAAATATCCATTAACTAATAAGGGGATGAACAAAATGAAATATATCCATACAATGGAATATTATTCAGCTATAATGAGTAATGAAGTTCTGATACATGCTACAACAAGGATGAACATTAAAAACATTATGCTAAGTGAAAGAAACAGTTACAAAAGACCACAGATGTATAATTCCATTTATGTTAAATGCCCAGAATAGGCAAATTCATAGAGACAGAAAAGGGTGCAAGGTTCCTTTTTGGTATAACGAAATGTTCTAAAATTGATTGTGGTGATGGATGCACAACTCTGTGAACATACTAAAATGTGAATTATACATTTTTAAATGGGTGAATTTTATGGTATGTGAATTATACCTCAATACAACTATTAAAAAAGAAGCCAGTACATATCCTCTTCCCGCTGGGTGCTCCCTTTTAGGGGCACTGCAGTGGAGAGTGTCAAGAAGCTCTGAGCTCGTAAGACTTAGAGATCTGAGATTCAACACCAGCTGACTGGCTTCTGACCTTACTCAGGTAGCTTCCTCTCTCTGCATTTCAATTTCCTCATCTGAAAAATGTAGGAGGAGAATTCAGCCTCTTTCACTACACCATCTTGGAAGTTTGGAGAATTATGTAACAGATATTCAAAATTATGTGAACTTGGAAGGCACTTTGGAAGTGAGTTTCAAGTATTGCTAATGTAGAATTAGCTTAGCCGAGAGCAGAGCAATTTAAAAACCAACATTAGAGTGTTCTTTGATAAACTTGCAGTATTGCCTGAAAGGCAGAGAAAATTCATCTTCTTTCTGGTAAAATAAGAGGTGTTTGCATGTGTGTGTATCATTTTAGAACCTTGTTTTGCTCAAGTTAAAGTGAATGGCTGCTGGGTTCTCCTCACCCTCTGAGCGGGACCGTTTGAACAACCAGTTTCCTCCAAAGGATTCTGCTATCATCAAGAGTAAGAGGCTCCTGGAGCAATGGCTAATGTGGGACATGAGATGGCCCTCTGAGGGCTAAATTTTAGATGCACACAGAAGAGTGCAGAGCAGAGATATGCAAAGTCTCTGGAAAAAAGTCAGCCATAATCAGATGGTAAGCTGACTGTCACTGATACAGCTGAAGAAAAGATTGGCGCTATCATATTGCTAGTAACCTATCTGATGTAAAATTTATACAGTTAAACCGTGGCTGTGACTAGGAACGTACAAGAGCATATAGCTTCTACAGTCAGAAGGACTTGGGACTGCGTAGGAAAAAAGTTTTGGCCATTCGCACGGGCATCATCATCTGTTTGGTGTATCCACACGTGTGTGTAAATAAAATCTAGAACATTCCTGGTTGTAAGTCACCTTCATGTTTACCTTCACTTCCTCTCTCATAAAAATCTTTTGAGGGGGTGGTTGTTTTTACTCTCATTCTATAGGGAGGAACATTGAGGTTTAGGGAGATTAAGGCTTCACCAAGATCACATAAAGTAAGTGGTTCAGTAAGAGGTTAAAATCTTTTACTGCAAAAGTCCGTGTTATTTGTAGTATGCATTTCAATGTACTAAGGACATTTTATTTGCTGCCTCACCTACCTCAGGTATGGCAGATACTGTTATACACTAACTATTGATGAGAAATTCGAGGTGGGATGAGATGAACCAACCACAGAGTTAGTTTTGTGGCTGTATATTCTAGGCTGCATGTAGATTTTCAGAACCTGCAGAACATGAGGAGAGTTGCCTTGTTCATTTTAAGTCTACATTAGTTTTTAACTATCATATTCCATGGAAATAAGATTTCTGCATAAGTGACCCAAGAAAGTAAAGTTCTAGCAAGACTCTCAGGGCATATAAGTCTGCTGGCCCCTAGTGAGAATGATTCCATTAATCACTTTCCCATTAACAATTCTCACATTCTTCCAAGGTGTTTACTAATGAGAGCCAGAGGCAAAAGCAGTAGGTGAAACTGAAGGTCGGAAATGCTTTGCACAATTTGAAAAAATTGTCTTCCTGCGCACAGGAAAGGCCAACATGATTTACTGAGTGAGTATTCTCAAGAATGTTGCTTACATGCTTTCTCTGCTAAGGTTATATTTTCTGTACTTGTTTAGCTTCAGAAGTAAAAGCAATACTACTTAAAAATAATTTTAAAAACAATAAGTGTTTGTTGATGTGCATAACTTCACTTCCCCTTACCCCCATTCTCTTGGCACACCAGACAGAAGGCAATACTGGGTGCAAGTAGAAACTATGGCCAGGCCTATTATGTTTTCTAGAAGGAGAAATCCTTAGCTAAGTGACGGATTATCTTTGTCATCCCATACAATTCTCATGACCATTCTGTGCACTGTCTTCCACACCCATAAAATGGAAACAATAATGCTCACTCTCCCATTATGTCTGTTGAGTGAAAGAGCCTTTAACATGAACTGGATGCCTTATTTCCATCCAGAGGTAAAACGTTAATTAATAAGATGAAAATAACCCCAAACAGCCTTCTTAATCCTTTGAAATTCTTCCAATTGAAAGGTAACCTACTGTTGAAAACTGAAATACCGACTTTGCTTCACTTGGTGAAGTGCCAGCTTCTATTTTACCAGAATTTAACTTTCAGCTTCTCCTGTTACCTCAGCAGACTCTGAAATGTTCCTGTTATGAGTCAGAAGGAGCCTAGATGGTACCTTGAATACCAGCAATCTTGGTTCATATCGTTTTATGTTTAGCTATTATGTTAGGGGAGGATAATCTAGGAAATAGGATTTTTACTCAGCCTTTCATTTTTGAACAACCAAAACTTTGCCTAAGAAGAGATAATCAATCTCAAAGTACAAATGGTGGTATCTGTCAGTGTGGTCTATTACACAGAAATGACAACCAATCAAAAAAGTCTTAATGATAGTTATGACTGTTTTTAATTTTTTTCCTTTTTATAAAATGGTAATAATTTCCTCTTCTTTCTGTAATCTAGAGATGTGAAAATATAAAGTAAGGTTTATAGTAGATTATGAATGTCCAATAATAGGAGGATGGATAAATAAAATATGGGATATTTATATGGTGAAGAACTATAGAGTAATTAAGAGATTTGACCTAAGTCTATATGTCTTAACATGTATAGATCTCAAAACCATAACATCGTGAGAAAAACAGAAGTTGCAGAGCAATACGTATAGTTGACACTGACGTAAAATTAAAGTCCCCACAAGGGAAGATTCTGCAAAGATGATGGTGGGGGCAGCAGACTTTTGGAATTTCTTTGAATCTCTACCAGGGGAAAAAGATAAACCTTCTGGACAAGAAAACCAAAAACCCATGGACAATAGTTACAATAAAAGTAGGTATCTCCAAAACCCCCAAAATACAAATAGGCAAGGATGAACCACTCATAGCCACAAGACTTATGAGTTATCAATGTCTATGTGAGAGAAAGAAAGGGAAGCAATGAGATGTCAGATACCCCTGAGAATAGGAGAATCCCCAGATAGCCCATAGGTATTGACTAGAAAGCATGGTGGGCCAATTAAAGAGCAGCTGAGACTGGGAGGGGTTTTGCCCACTGTAATAGCAGATGAGTGCAAAGGGCCCATGATTAGAAGGACTAAGGGGCTAGAGTGGTCAGGCATCTACAAATTCTAGAAAGTGACCTGCCAGAGCTCCCTTCTAGGACAGGGCCCACACTGAGGAGAAACTGCTGAGTTTGGAATCAGAATTGAGCTGGATAGAAGCAAAGTAGAGAAAATCCAGATTAAAGTGGGTGGAGGAACAGAGTCAGATAATCTCAGCAAGCTGCCGTGTGTGTATGTGTGTGTGTGTGATACTACACAAAAACAAGGAAAGAAGGAGTTCTGTGCATTTAGAAAAGCTACCCTGAACCAATTCTCTTTCTAAGAGTTTTAGAAAACTAATTTCACATAAAAATGAGCAACAGAAATGTATCTAGGTCAACTCCCATACAAAGTTATTATGAGAAGGAAAAAAAAAGAGAATATGGCACAAAATCGCATCCCTACAGATAGCAAAAGCATGCCAGAAAGTAATGCCAAAAAAAGGATTAAAACATAACAGTGTATTTCAAAATGAGCTAAGAAGCATTAATAAAATGATATAAGACATGAAAGAACAACAGACATCAGAATTAGAAAAACTCAGACATGGAATAAAAGAACTCAGGGAAGAATACAAGATTATAAAAGAAGTGAAGTCTAAACTAGAGTGAACACAAGAGGGAGTGAATACAATAGCTGACGTCTTAAGAGACATAGAAGATGAAAAAGAAGAAAACTTTCAGAATAAAAAATAAATGAAGAGATAAAAAGTATTCAAGAGACAGGCAAAATATCAAAGAGAGACAAAGAAGTTTCAAAATACGGATAATAGAAATCCCTGAAGCAGCAACCAAATCAAGGAAACTGAACAAACACTAAAAACTTTCCTGAAATTATAAAAAACGTATTTGAAACCACATATTGAGAGAGCACACTGCACTCCTGAGTATATAAATATACAACAGCTGACATCAAACATATTCTAGTTAAATGACTAAATTTTATAGAAGAAAGAAATAAAATCCTTTGAACTTCTAGGCAAAAACAGCAAGTGACTTACAAGGAAAAGAAAATTAGATTATTATTAGGATTTTTAACAACATATTTAAGATACTTAGGGAAAGAAATTGTGTGCCAAGGATTTTTATATTCAGAAAAACACTGACTTTCAAGTATAAAGGGCACAGACAGTTTGTTATCAACATGCAAGAATTCAGGAATATTGTTCTCATGAGCCCTTCCTGAGGAATGAGCTTTAGACAACAACTCCACTAGAGAGACAGCCACATAAGGGCCAGTGGTGAACATCAATCATATAGTTGCTGATGCGACTAAGACTAAATGAGGATGAAAAGGGAATGGGTATTGTATGTAATGGCTATATGTCAGATAATATAGCTCAAAGATTCAAAAGGGTGGAGAAATGGGAAAAGCATATGCAAAAAACAATTTTAACTGCTCTCAATGATTATAAAATATATTAATGGTAGTAGTATTCGAATTGATATTCTGAGACTGCTATATGTGTAATGAGGGATAGGTAATTATGGGATGAGTAATTATGGGATACTTTAATTCTATCAATCCCTTTTTCCTGGAGAATTAGGACTTTGAGTGTGGAAAGAAGGAGATACAGATATGATACAGAAGAGATTAAGAAAAAAATCCTGTAGCCTTGAATTTGAATTTGAAGTGTTAATATGAACTCATTGGTTATTTTATCTTAAAATTATATATGTAAATGTATATATGTATATTTTCTATCACTATTTACTGAAGAAGCCTAGAAAGAACTACCAACTCAGTAGCAATGAGCATTCCTATGCACCCAGATTGTGGTCTTAAAATAATATTTCCCACTAAAAGAAACCAGAGCTTATAAGAGAAATAACTGATTTCATGCCTGGGGCTAGAAATGTACAAGACAGAGCTGGAACACCCTGTCATACCAGTTATTGAGAAAGCTAGCAAGGGTTACTTAGGCTCAAAGTTTACTGAGTCCTCAAAAGGATTCAGGAGCCAACCTGAAGAAGTTCCCATTGGTTAAATATGAGACAAATTGAGCTTCAAAAGGATAATAATGGAAATAGACTGAAACTCATCAAATACATATAAATTTATGAGTTCACTACGTTATTTTAAAGAAAACTAACTGACTACTTTGGGATGATAATAGACAGGTAATGAATTATTGAAGAACTGGCAAAAAAAGCAAAAGCATCAAGCGTTACCCTGCTTTTCCTAGGATGAACATAGGAACTGTGAGCAAAATGTCTCTAAAATATGATGATGATGAGAGAAAGTGTCTGTAATATATTTCAACTACTAAATGCAATACAAGTGATAGATTAGAACAGCACCATTTTGCAACCCCCTATGAACTAATAGGTCTGGACATGGAGTATCAACAGCTGCTAATATCACAAAAAGAGAAACCACTTATGATGGTCTCCTGAGGAAAGAAAACACCACCACTTATAGTGTTGCCAAAGAAATCAAACTGGAGTATGATCAAGCCTCTGGATCCAGTGGCCAATTTTTGGGAAATACAGAGCACAGAAACATATTCAATTATACCACAAGCAAGCAGTCAGCAAGATCCAGACTATGGGAAACTCTACAGGGCAAATGCCACAGCTAAATTACAAGGAAAAGGAAGGGATGGAAAGGAAATTTGTAGATTAAAATAGACTTAAAAGACACATCAAGACTTTTAAAATTGGGCAAGACCGTGGCATCTGGGGATGCTCAGTTGGGTGAGAAAACTATAAAGCAATGCAAGGAAAAGATTACAGTAAAATTCAAGATGTTGTTCTTTTAGAGGGAAGGAGGAATTTGTGATGGGATAGGGCATGTGGATGGGGCTTCTGGTGTGGCTACCTAGCTGTTCCTTTTTGACCTGGGCTATGTTTACAAGGGTGTTAAAGCTATACATTTATCTTGTGTAGTTTTCTACATTTATTTTGTTTTCCCAAGGAAAGATTAAAAGAATCACCCACAGGGGCCGGCCCCATGGTTTAGTGGTTAAGTTTGGCACGCTCTGCTTCAGTGGCCCAGGTTTGCAGGTTCGGATCCTGGGTGTGGACATACACAACTCGTCAGTCATACTGTGATGGTGACCCACTTACAAAATAGAGGAAGACTGAGACAGATGTTAGCTCAGGGCCAATCTTCCTCAAGCAAAAAGAGAAAGATTGGCAACAGATGTTAGCTCAGGGCGAATCTTCCTCAACAACAACAACAAAAATAACCCACAGAACACTACTATACATTGTTTATGGATTCATATGAGTGAATGTGAAAGTATAAAATTTGGCGAGAACAATACCCATCAAGTTCATATGAGTGTTTTCCTCTAGGGAGGTAGGAGAAGAAGGGAACTAGAGGTTGGGGGGATGCCAAAGGGTGTTTCAAGTTTATCTGCTACGTTCTAATTCCACAAAAGAAATATGATGTGAATACGTCAAAATCTTGGTAATGGTTAATCTGGGAGTTTGTAAACACACGTGTTTGTGTATTATCCTCTCCTCGTCTTTATTTTTGAGTTCTAAAAATATTAGCTTGTGAATGTACATTGTGACTGCAAGCAATAAATTCTCTGAAAATGTGTTGGTGCTATTGGCATAGCGTGCTATATAAATCGAAGATACAATTGCCATTAGTCCAACTACCTTACTTAGAAACAATCATGTGGGCATCCTTGATGAATTAGTTCCTTAACATTAAGTGAATGAAAATTCGACTCTCAAAGAAGTTAATTCATTGTAACTGTTCACTTAACAGTATTCTATAAGAGAAATAGAATCAATATTTTCTTTCTGCTGAGCTTGAAAGACAAATATACAACTTGTTTAAACCACCGATCAGTTCCTTCTTTTGCGGGGTGGGTAAGGGATTTTACTGAGATCCAGTTCAAGTCAATGGAATGTTCCCAGATTATTTTCCCATTTGGGGTTTTGAGATCAGTTGTCTTCTCAGCCTGAAGCTCTGTGTTGGTAGGGCTGACCCTAGCCCTAACCCTAATCCTAACTGGGTATGTATAGGTGGTCAAATTAATATAAATCTTTGAAGATTATTTATTATTCATTATTTTGACCTTCTTGGTACTTAAGTCAATGATTATCAGGTGGGAAAATCATTATAAATGTAACACAGGAAACAACAATTGGCCATTCAAAATTTTATTCCCTAAGCGTCTGAAGCAATATCATTCTGCCATGATGGAAAATAAATGTCAGAGAAAAAAACTGCCTAGAGTGTTTTTTTGTGTGTGTTTATTTTAATTTCTATGAACCCCTAAGAATATCAACTCACAGAAATAACACAATCAGATTTTCTTCCATAAGTGTGTATAGGATGTAAACTCACTCCTGACGACTCACAAGTGAGAAAAAACGCAGACCAACAGCTGAGTGACCCCTTCTGTACTCACCAGGCAGGTAGCTGCACAGTCTCTCCATTGATGCCTGGACCGTGGAGTTGTGAACCTGGGCAAGCTGTTCAATCATAGACACCACCAGCACACACCCTGCAAGGGAGCAGAAGAACATGTCAGCAAGGTCACCCAGAACACTGCGCTGGAGGGTCAAAGCAGAGAAAGGGGATATATGTGTGTCCTTAAGGACACCAACCTCTCCAGAACAGAGAACTTTTATCTGCTATTTGCCTTTTAACATCTACCACATTCACAAATGCACTGTGAGCTATAGTGAAATGTGGAGTGTGGTAAGAAGATGGTGGGTTTGGGGGTCAGAATGACTGGTTGTCAGTCCAGTTTTGCCGGTTGTAAGCTATGTGATGTTGGGGAAGTAATTGAATCTTGCTTTATTTCTGTTTTTTGTCTATCACATGGGAGAAACAGATGAGATTTAAAGGAGAGAGTGCAAGGAAAACAGCCCACACAGAGCAGAAGCTCAACAGACATTGGCTTCTCTCCCCTGCCCTTTCCTTCCTTCTGCAGTGGTCGTCTTCCTTCTGAATAGGATCATTCCCCTCCTACATATTCTCAGCCTGTGACCTGGGGTCAGATTTTTAATTTTAGAAAAGCAGTGGAAATTGCCCAATGTTTGGAGTCAGAAGAACTGGAATCGAGTCCTGTCCTTGAATCTTAGACCCACCATCCAGCCTTTCTTTTTTTTTTTTTAAAAGATTTTATTTATTTATTTTTCCCCCCAAAGCCCCAGTAGATAGTTGTATGTCTTAGCTGCACATCCTTCTAGTTGCTGTATGTGGGATGCGGCCTCAGCATGGCCAGAGAAGCGGTGCGTCAGTGCGCACCTGGGATCCGAACCCAGGCCGCCAGCAGCGGAGCGCACGCACTCAACCGCTAAGCCACAGGGCCGGCCCATCCAGCCTTTCTAAGCCTTGGTTTCCTCACTGCAAAGTAGTGGTAATAATATGTTTCCCACAGGGCTGCTGTGATGATTAAATGTGACAACAGTGCAACTGAATGAGCCTTTGAAATCATAACACTATTGTAAAATATTATTTTACCTCCCAGCTACAAAACACAGTGCTTGAAAGCATGTACCAACATAATAAGTGTCTAGAAGGAACCTTGGATTAAGTTAGGAATATATTCCTTCAGCTACCTTGATATATGGTAAGGTGTAAAGGCCCAGAACTGATAGGCTTACACCCCTAGAAGGCTCTATCACCAGTCTTGATCTCCTGAACTGCAGGGGAAGTCCAAATCTCCTTTTTCCAAAAGGAGGGGACTCTTTTTTTTATACACAAGGGGTTGGTTGGTCAAAGATCAGTAAGTCTGTGAGAGGAAATTGTTAGGCCTTGTTGAGATAAGAGAAGTGGCACTTATTAGCAAGGTTGTTTTCCAAGGAGGCAAGAAAAGGCTTGCATCCAAATGAAGAAGTTCCAGGGTGCCTGGCCCAGCAGTAAGCTCACTATTATCCATCTGCTCAAGGAGCTGGGAACCCAAATACGCATGCAGTGTCATTAAAATCAAATTCCCACCAGGACTCCTTGAGAGAAGGTGGCTGATAACAGATGTGAATAGTACAATGGGGCTTTTCTAGACAGAAAGAAATAAAACCTTCTGTAAAATGTGAGATTGCCAACAAAGAACGAGAGACTTCTACCTTTCTAGACACTGCAACATTTGACAAGGTTTTGGCCTCGATTGTTCTGTACCCTCAGATAAAGCTGGGCAAAGCTGGACTCAGCAAATCTGAGACAGTGCGATCCTGATAACCACAGTCTTACTGCTCTGAGAGCACCTACTTACTGGGGCATTTATCAACATCAACGATCAAGGTTGATTAGATGTGCTTTTAACCTAATCCATGCATTGAGAGTTTTATTACATTGCAACGAATTTAGTAGCTGATACTTATTAATACTCAATGGTTTAAAAAGCATTTTTATTTATATTTTATTTTAAAAATAACTTTTCAAAAATACAGGTGGAATGCAATCTCATTTTAGAAAAATTTAAAAATATCAGACAGTATAAAAAAGATAAACGTCACTCAAATCACCCAGAGATAAGCAAATTTCACTTTTATTTTAAATATATAAAATATATTTAGTATATGTTCATATTTTCAAAATTTATAATACACTTTTACACCCTGATTTATGTCTCTGATAGTCATTTGTTAAGTTAGGTGGAGCTAAATTTTAGTAATTGTTGAATAAAAACAATTATAAATAATTATATTGCAATGTGATAAGAGGATACAGTGTGGTATAGTTGAAACAGGGAGGATCTAAAATAAAAAAAACTTGGGTTCAGATACTGGATCAGTCATATACAAATGATGTGACTTTGGAGAAATTACTGGGGCATTTATCAACATCAACGATCAAGGTTGATGTTGATCCTTCTGGAACTTCATTTTTAAGAGGTTAGAGTTAGACCGTAAATTCCTTGATGGCGGGAATGGGGCCTTACTATCTCTAGCTTTGAGTGCCTGAGACAGAGCCTGGTTTGAAGTAAGGAGACAAGAGGAGTTGGCTGACTTGCAGCAACTGACTGGAGAGCCACCTGAGTGACATTTCAGCTGTCAGTTGCCGGAGGTCTCCACAGGAAAGGGTTAATGGATTCACCCGCAGTTGTGTTCTGGCTCAGTCATCTCCCTGAGGACGTCGCTTACTCTCAGTTCCAGTGTCATTACAGGAGGTGGCTCCATTCTGGTGTGAAACAACCAGTGCCCTCTCTTGAGTTAAACAGTGGATTCTGTAGCAAACGGTCATCACATGCAGTTCATGATCAAAGAAGACCATGGTGGAGATTCGGTTGAGATCTTGCATAGTAATCACTTCACACAACGTCTTATCAATGAGCTGCAGCATTTGGCATCCAGAGTGGACTGGAAGCATGGGAGATGTGGGGATGTGGAAATAAAATTAAGAGACCTGGCACAGACACCAAACAGAGGAAATTGCACTATGAATTATGCCTGAGGTCTAGCCTGTTGCTGTTATGATTTTACATGTCTTCTTAAAAATTGTGGAAAACTGTGATTACTCCAGATCTGGCTTAATGCAGTTTTCATTTATTCAGAACATTTTCAACACGCACCTTCAAAGAAAAGAAGCAAATGACAAATAGCCTGGGTGATTTTAGTGATTGAGAGGGAACAGGAGCCTTCAGGATACACCCTAATAGTTCCAGACACATTGTGGGACTGGATAAATATCTGTCAAAGGAATAAGGTCAGGGAGCATGTTGGGGTGAATATAGACTTGATGCCATTTTCTTGCTCAGTAAGGTGATGAAGGAGCACACAAGGACAATTGTGGATTGTTGTGCTGCCTTAGTTTCCCCTAAGTGACCAGTCTTTGAGACACCAAATATTTGGAAGGACCAGAAATAAGCACATGTTACTCCCCTCAGAAAAGCCCATCCCCTGTAGTGAACTCATTTTATCCGCAGCCCCCCTCTAGTCTGAAAGGCTCTGTTTTTTTCTGTATGTTATTTTTTACTCTCCCCTCCTTTACCTACTTAGCTCCTATGAATTGTTCAAGATTCTCTTCAAACTCCAATGAAACCTCACCTTATTCCCCCAGTCAGAATTCATGGCACCCTCCTCTCCATTGCCCCAGGGCTTCATACTCATCACCCAAGACTAGTATTAAATGCTACTGTGACTTCCTCCCCTCTAGGCATCATCCTCCTTGAGGGCAAGGTCAATGACTTATTCTTCCACTCCAGGGCCTACCACCATGCTTGGTACATGAGCTCAGTACACATTCATTGGATGGATGAGTGAGAGAAAATACTCTTGGGAAATTCCTTCTATTCCTGTGGAGAATGGGATTGCCTCTTCATGGAGACATTCATAAAAAAACCTATGGAAGGCTAGATGTATAGCTAAAGAAATTCTGCCAGTTGTTCTCTTTTCTCCATCATGGAGGCAAAAGCTACATATAGATTGCCTGCACATCAGAGGAGTCTTCCAAGACTGGCTTTAACAAAGGAAGTACGCATTCAGCCAAGAGTTACTGAGCAGCTGTTCTTGGCAAGAGATGGTGCTAGGGTTTGATGGGCCCCTGGTGAGTAGAATATGATCCTTGTCCATAGGAAGCTCACAATATAGCTCCCAAATTTACATAAATTGGATGGCAAATACTAAGTGAGATGTGACTTGGAAGAAACTTTAAGGCAGAGGAAGTGGGAGAAAAGGCATCCCCAGGAGAGGAAGAAGACTTGGTGGCCTGAAAGAACATGGTATATTTCTCCATATTTTTCACAATTTAATTAGCATCAAATTTTCTTCCTCATTGGTACCTTAAATAATAGTTTCTTACAATCAGTAGCATAATAGGCTTGATGGTATGCAAGAATTGGAAATCCACAGTTGGTTCAGTGTAGTAGGAATATTGGATGAACATGGGGCATAAGGGAACACTTCTTGGAATTTTTTCTTGAGGAGGCTCCATTCTTGGTGACCCCAGTGATTTCAACCTTGCACACTATTTCCTTTCCTTGAAAAATTCAACTCCAGTACATATATGTATTTGTTTTAATCCATGGCTTGGAAGGATGAACGCAAAGAGAATTGTGCTGCTCGAGACCAACCTGCGTCTTTGTAATTAAAGGTGTAGGCTTTTCTTCTGAAGTTTATTCAAAGGAATCCCATCAAGGGCTATTATGACTTTTGTGACTCCTTGGTACTGCTGCCTAAGTTGGAAATCATAAGATAACTAAATAAAAGGATAAATAAAAAGGAGGCAAAAAAAGTTCAGCCATCTCTGAAGATTGGGTGAATCTTGCCACCATCGTCACTCTGCCCAGTGAAGAGTTATTATGATCAAAAGGACCCCGCAGAAAAGCAGGTAATGGGGTTTGAAATACGGAAACGCCCAGGTTGGGCTCAGCTTTGATTTGAGTCCTGCGCCCTTACACATCTCTGCCCATTTCCAGGGGGCTCAACTCCCCTTCCAGCTGGATTGTTGATTTAGCGTCTGCAGCGCGGTGTGTCCTGAATCCTTTAGTGGTAAGAACGGATAAATTGACTTTGCTACAGTTTCTAATAAGAGGTTTCACTGTCTTGACAGGCTAAAGAA